GCTACAAGCATGCTTAATGGGAGGGATTGCATCTGAGTCAATGAGTCGATGCAATCAACTGATTTCCCTTAGATAGAAAACTTTGAATCAATTCGACTGTATGATCTGGTTCTAACTGTAAAGTGCCTTGAGATGACATGTGCTGTGAATTGGCGCTATTTAAATAAACTGAATTGAATTGATACAGAGGTGGAATAAAGCCCACCTGGTCCTGAAACTCCATGAACAAATCCAAACTGGCTTTCTCGCTCCTCATCCTGAATCTTGGGAAGCTTCGATGTGTCCATGGCTTAATTTATGTCCTGTAAAGAAGATAAGGAGAAGGCGACGTTTAACAAACTTTTACATCATTTAAAATCATAATAACTGAAGTCGCTGTCATGAAACACGGTTTGGTTGAAGTTAGCATCTGATCAGGTTTTAGTTTAACATGATCGATGACTAACCTACACAGGACGGTTAGGCTGCCACTGAATAGACAAGTTAAGCAGATCAGGAGCGAACTGTTTCCTTTAAAAGGACAGATGGTGGTTCATGTTTCCACTTCAGAGGTAACACAGAGAAAAGCTGATCTGTGCGCGAACGGGTCAGGTGACAAGCTAGCAGAGAGTACCGATACTCATGAAATGAACGCTCACTTGAATAACAGTATAATCACACGACATTTAAAAAACACACAATAAATTAAAGAGAAGCAAAACCACAGGCAGCGACAATATGAGTACTTTACCTTAAAATGATTAAGTAGTTGAGCCCAGGTTTGTTTCCACTGTGGCAGGCAGAGGAGGAGCTTCTCTGTGTTAATCACCTGCACAGCACCGGGCTACGACGAGATAACTTCGCCATTTTGGCTCAAACAATCTCCCTTTTCCTTCGTGGACCGCAGATGAATTTTGAGCCAAAATGGCGTCGCCAGCTGGTGAGTTTCACAGCCAACGCAGTTCGGTCTGCACGCTCATGTGTCTGAGGCGCATTACTGCCCTCTGCGGGGCATAAGGGAAAACGCACTTACAGATCACGTTATCAAAAGTAGAAAAAAATATATAATAAAATAAAAAATATGTTAAACAAGCCAAAGTGAAAGTGATTTAGTAAAAAAAGTACATTTTTTAAAATAAAATTATTTATTAAGTATTTTCTTTCTATTTTAGTCTTAAACAATTTACTTAACTGTCTGCCAGATAATATGATTTCTAAACATGAAAAGAAATATGATCAAACTGCTGCCATCAACACCTCTGTTTATACGTGTTGTATGATCTGGTTGAACTGTAATGTGCTTCGAGATGATATGTCTTGTGAATTGCGGCTATATAAATAAACTGAATTGAATTGAACAAATACTCAGTACTTCAGTAGCATCTTTACTAAATAGTTTTGTATTCTTACTTGGAAACTTTCTGGGATGGCTACTTTTAAATTTTAATAGAGTAAAAAACAGGTTGAAGTAGTGCTACTCTTTCTTTAGATAGAAATTGTTGATGCTTTACCACCTCTGCATACAAGGTGATGTTAGTGGAAAGCAAACAAACAAACAAACAATCAATAATAATCAATAACAACAAAACAAGGAACCTGAATTAGTGTGGAAATACTTTTGTGGGAGAAGCAGATACATGATATATGATGTGAGATAGATGAACAAAATGATTTAGAATCCCTGATAAAAGGTAAATAAGTGATAAATTAATATTGAAAATCTTTAGTGCTATGGCTACAAAAGGCAATGCAGGGAAAATGGCTCTGAACTGACTAACCAGGTGTGGAGGTCTGGTTAAAAAGGGTTGAGAAAAATTACAAACTGGAAGGGCAACAGCAACATGCTAAGGTTGCAAATTGAACTTTATAGAAAAAAAACAAAAAAACAAAAAGATTAACCATGACTGGACTAACTATGGATACTGCTCCAAAAATGACTTTTTTATTCTTGTACCTTTAATTGTTATTGAAATTAGACCTTGATTATCTGTACTCATTTTTTTTTTCTCTGTGATAAACTTTTACTAAAAGTATTAAGAAATATATAATATCTATTATATATATAACATTAAAATAATATTAATATAATATTAAAATGTTAAAACTAGGTCATGAATATTTAAAGGCAGACAGGGTGTCTGCCTCACGGACTAAAACTGGTAGTTGGTTCCACAGCAGAGGAGCCTGATAACTAAAAGATCTGCCTCCCATTCTATTTGTAGAAATTCTAGGAACCACTAGTAAACCTGCAGATTAAGAGTGAAGTGCTCTGTTAGGAACATAAGGAACAATCAGATCTCTGATATAAGATGGAACTTGGCAATTTAAGGCTTTATGTGCAAGAAGTAGGATTTTAAATTCTATTCTGGATTTAACAGGAAGCCCATGAAGAGAAGCGATAGGAGAGATGTGATCTCTCTTTTTAATTTTCATCAGAACTCTGAATGCAGCATATTACACAGCAGGGGATTAATTACCACTGCATGCTGATGATACTCAGCTATATTTGTCCATAAATCCTGATAAGTTTAAACACTGGTGTGGTGTAAACTCTTGACACTGTATACTAGTGTTAGCTAATGTCAACTCTGAGTGGCGTTCCAATGCTCTCCAAGTCTTAACTGTGTACAACTTTCAGAAATGTTATTTTACCTCAAACTAACATGAACCAAATTAGACACTATAACAAGTTAATTTAACTCCTTAAGAGTTAAATTAACTCTTCCAATTTTGTTTGGAGAATTTGCAGAACTAGGAATGAAGGGATGGGGCCCTTTCCCTACACAGACCTTTCTGGTGATTAGCATGGGGGTCACAGGCGGCACCAGGCTGTTGTGGTTGCATGTAATACTGAAGCCCTTAAATCATAATTTAAAAAAAAAGGACACAAAACAAGAGTCAACAGCAGGATGAGCTGTAAAGCATTGGCAGACAGGATTTGTCAGGATTTTGTACTCAATTCAACCCACAATTGTATATTTTTGTTGTTTTTTTGGTGTTGTTTTCTCAATTGGTTATTTCTTTCAGCTGCTGTTTTCCCTCCCTGCTGCAATTATCATTTATTCCTCCCACCTGTTTCCTTTGGTTTATATTCTGCTCAGCCTGAGCATTCGGGGCCAGATCGTTATTTCTTTTCCGTTAAGCCTGTCTGTTGAGTTGATGTCACGGTTAATGTCCTGGATACTGGCGGCCAGTGGAAAGAGGGTTTTGTGTCTGTCTCGTCTCCTGCTAGTCCGCTGTTCCTCCCTTGCTGAGTCCTCTGGGTTTTTGGCTCTTTACCCGGGGAGGATCGGTTTTTATCCCAGTAAGCCTGGCTCCAAGGTGGAGACCAGTTTAAAGGTCCTGCATCAAGTTCTGGTTTCAAATGTCTGCACCTGATTCTGTCTACCTGATCTGGATCCTGCCAC